CTTGGAGGGCGGCCAGGCCTGGGGACTCCTCCTGGCACAGCAGAGAGTAGAAGTAAGATGAGGGCCCCAGGCCACTCAGAGAAGCAAGTTTCCTGCCCCACAGGCACCGCCAGTGAACATACCATAAGCAAACACTTGTCTGCTCTACCCAGTGCTGGCGGGTGAGCAAAGGCAGGCATGCAGGCTGGTGGGGATGGATGCCCACCGTGACAGGAGACCCACAGGCCCTCCCCACCGGCCCCCCTTCCACCTTCTCTTGGGCCCTGAGGAGGGCCAGGCATTCCAGCCGGAATCTGTGAATCCACGGAAGGTCAGGCTTTTCCTGGATGCATGACCTTCAAGGAACAAAGAAACCCGCCAGCATGAGGATGACAGCTTATCACAGGGAGCCTGGCCGCCCAGATAGAGGGGGAGCAGGGGGTGGGGGTGGGGGGTCTGAGAGGTCAGGAAGGAGGACTGGAGACCAGAGAAGGCCCTCCACCAGGTGCCTGAGGAGGCCCGGGCTCTTTATAAAGCTACTCCGGCCCTAACTGGTTTGGTTCAGTGGATACAGCATCGGCCTGCAGACTGAAGGGTTCCAGGTTCGATTCTGGTCAAGGGCATGTACCTTGGTTGCGGGCACATCCCCAGTGGGGGGTGTGCAGGAGGCAGCTGATTGATGTTTCTCTCTCATCAATGTTTCTAACTCTCTATCCCTCTCCCTTCCTCTCTGTAAAAAATCAATAAAATATTTTAAAAAAAAAAAAAGCTACTCCGCACAGATGGCTTCAACCTCTGAGGAAGCGGAGGGCTGGCCGCCCCCTCTGCCTGCTGGGAAAGAGCTTTCCTGCTCCCCTGGCCAGACCCAGTGCCAGCTCCAGTCCCGGCCATTGTTCCGGCTTCCTGGTCAACTGCAGTGGGTGGAGCCAGAGCCCCCGGCTCCAGTGGCTGGAGCTGGAGGCCTGTGAGGTCCCAGCCCCACTGCCCGTCCCCCACCTAGCCAGTCCCCGCAGTGCCAGCTATTTTTATCACTAACTGCATGGCCTTGGGCAGCCCCTGGATATCTCAAGGGTCTGCCCTGCCCATCTCACGGGGATGGCATGAGGCTCAGGCCAGCTGGGGGGTCGGACTGGTCTTGAGAACAGGGCGTCGGAGGGGATTGGGACACCCCTGACACTCAGGTGGGAGAGCTAGGCCGGCTCCCTCTCTCCTCTGCCCTCCCCGTGCTCTGCTTTCCTGAGTGCCCACTACGTGCCAAACACTGCACACAGTGAGGGCAATGTCACCTCACCGTGCCCTCGCCCTAAGCCCAGGGGAGAGCATTACTGGCTCCATTTCACAGATGAGGAAAATGAGGCTCAGAAAGTCCAACAACCTGGCGCTGATGAGTGACAGCGGCGGGACACTAGCCAGCTGTGACTGTGTGCTCTTCACCATGCCACCACGCCGCTGCCACCACGGCTCATGAGCACAGGGTCCTCTCTCACTGTCCCCTGTGGGGCCGAGCATAGAGCCAGACACACAGTGGCAGTTTGGCAGAGCTGCCAGGATGATGGCTCCCAAGGGAAGTTGTCTTTGGTGGCCCTGCCTGCCCCGGCGATGACCTGTGGATCCTGGGAGAACGCCCCCACCCCCACCAGGGCAGTGCCTCTCCCCCAGCCAGCGGGAATTGCTAACTCCAAAAGGTAGAGTTTATGTCAGCCTCTCCCTCTGGCTCCTCCCAGCTCTGGCTCTCTTCTGGATGTCCTCCTCCCCATAAGGTACCACTCTCTTGCCATACCAGCAGTGGTTGGGGCGAAGGGAATGATCACCCAGAGACTAAAGAAGACGGCGCCAGTGTGCCACCCTGGTCACAATGTCTGAAGTTCCCCTGTGAAAATGCTACGCTCTAAGACAGGCCTGGGGAACCCTTTCTCTGCTGAGGGCCATTTGGATATTTATATCACCATTTGCTTAATATAAGTCACTTAATATAAATTTATGTTGCTACGAAAGGAAGCTGCTAATTTATTGAATTCTGAGTCCCGCATGCAGTTGCCTTGGCAGGGCCAGACCAAATGGTTTCCCAGGCCTTATACGGCCCCCAGGCCGGACATCCTCCTCCCCCGCTCTAGGAGGAGGACCGTCGCATCAGATATGGGACAGGTGAGAGAGGTACCTGTGTGTGTGGCCGGGTGTGTTGCGCAGCTGCGTAAGCTAGTTTGTGCCGTTCCGGTCACTTACAACCAAGAGAACGCAGACGGAGACAGGCGGGCAGCAGGCTGGAGGCCGGGAGGGACGCGGAGGGAAAAGGAGATGTGGATCGATCCTGTCACCTCCCCAGAATCAGAGCCTCGGTCTCTGAGGGCCTTTGGAGATCAGGGGTCAAGATCTCTGCTTCGGCTGGAGAATTAAGGCCCCGAGAGGGGCAGAGAAAGGCCTGTGGTCCCTTGTTAGCAAAGGGCTAGGACTTGAAACCGAGCCTCCGGGCTTCATTCCCGGCCCTGGTTGGGCCCAGGCTGGAGCGCAGAGGCTGAGGGCCAGGTGGGAGCTGGAGGGGCCTCGGTGGTTTGTGAAAGGAAGACAAGGTCACTGCAGGCTCCGCGTGGGCTCAGCCATTCCCAGCCGGGGCTGCTCCTACCTCTGGTGCACGCAGACCATCCTCCGTTCAGGAAGGAGGACCTGAAGCTATAAGTCACCAGGCACATGCCAGTGCTTTCCAGGCATCTCTGGGGGGTGGCTGGGGTTTGCTGAGCTCATGCAGCTACAGGGGAAGCCGGGATCCGAGCCTGGCACAGGCACCAAGGACCGGGTGTCCTCTAGCTGGACCGAGTGGTGGCCGCCAGCAGAGGAACCACATGGTTTCACAGTCTCGGGGGCGGGGCCCTCCTGTGGCCACACACAGAGGAAATAAGAGAAGTGTGAGGTCCGGGTCATATCTGGGGTCCCGTCCCCCCAGCCTTTCCACTAAGCCTTCTGTACCCATTTTTGAGCCCCTGCATTGTGGGCAGCTCCCTCTCTTCTTGATTTTCTAGCCTCAACTCCCACCCCGCCCCCCTAGGACAGCGTGTCTTTGCTGACTGCCCTCCACTGGCTCTCAGATGCCCCAACCTGGGGAGGTTGTTTCTCCCTCTCTATCCCCACCTCTGCTCTTGCCTTTGAGAAATGGAAGAAGTTTGAGCTGGAGTTGGGCCGCTGGGAGGCAGGGATGGGGTACGGGAGAAAGGGGGTGTAGGAGGGCTGAGATGGGAGGCGGCTGGGTTGGGCATGCAGGCGGATCACAGGGCGAGTGGAAGCGGGTGAGAGCAGGCACTCCTCTGGGTCCGTCGCTACTCTCGGCAGGCGCTGGTTTTCCACTGGGGCTGAGCAAGTGGCTTCTGACCATCCATGACCTGCTCGTCCTGGCGACCCAGGGCTGCAGGGCCATTTCTGAGGGTCCCAGGTATCCTGCAATTGGTATTGTCAGCATCTTCACAGCTCCCCCACCAGGGCCTCCATACGCGACTCCATTTAATTCTCACAACAGCCAAGCAAGGGAAGGGTTAACCTCCCCATTCTTCAGATGAGTCCCAATGAGGGAGTTTCCACAGTGACTTGCCCAGTCACACAACCACAAGGTTCAAAACTCAGGATCCGAACCCAGCCTATGTCCCAGGCTCAAGCCTGCCACCCTGGCCCGCACCCCTCTCTCCCTCTCCACGTCCCGTCATGCCCCCGTGGAAGAACGACCAGAACACGCAGCGCTGGGGTCTGTGATGGGCAATGTCTTTACTTCTAAAGCATACATTGGACTCACTATATATTAACATCCAAAGGGGCTATCTAAAATGGAGACGTTCTTTTTAAAAATCCAAATTCTCACATTTTTATATAAGATTCAAAATGACATGAAATTAAAATATACGATGTTATGAAGAGTATAACAATAGCTTTTAGAAAGCAAAAGGAAAAGAAAAAAAAAGTAGCAGATGGGACTGTTGTCAGCCTGGGGTCAATGTCTTTTGAGGCATTGAGGCTGTCTTTTGGGGCCGGCCCTTCCGGGGCGGGGGCGGGGGGGGGGGCGGCCCAGCCCCACGGGAAGGGAACCCGGTCAGATGGAGGAAGTGGATGTGCTTTTCAGACGTGTTAAGGGAGAGTGGGATGAGGGGGGGCTCCCTGCTCCTCTGGGTCCTTGGTGCATTGATTAAAGTCTTCTTTTAAGACCCATGACCAGGGAAGGGGGCTGGAAGAGGCAGGGGCAGAGCTGGGGTCTAAATACTCATCTCCATGATAAAGGTCCTCGGGCTGCCCAAGGGCCCCGGGCATCCAGTGACATCAGTGGACTCCATCCACCTACTGATTTCCTTAACCCCCTTCCCGCCTGCTCCCTCTGCCGACACCGCAGCTCCATGAGCAGTGCGGGCAGCCCGAGACAGGGAGGGTGCAGGCGGACCCAAGGGAGAACTCCTTGGCCTTGGAAGTAGCTGGATGTCCTCCAGGGCATCTGGGCAATGCGAGATCGCTGCAGTCCCTGATAGGGGAGGGTTCCCAGGGGCTGGCCATTCACACGGTCCTTTCACCTGCCCCGCCCTGGGTACACAGGCCTGGTCTGGGCCCTGACGCAGGGCCCCGAGCTGATTGAGGCCACACCCTTGACACTGTGGTTCACACAATTCAAGGGGGAGGACACTTGTCCACAACCACTGGGAAGGTCATGGGCGTGGCCCGGGCACCAGGTGGCCAAACGATCCCCCCCGTCATATCGGCAGCTCTGGCTGGCTGAGAGCACACTCCCCAGCAGAGCTCGGAACCAGGCGGCAAAGGTGGGAGACTGGATTAGGCCTCCTGTCTCTCCTCCTTTTCCTGTGGACGGCACTGTCCTGGGCCCTGTCCCTGGCTGAGTGTCCTCCCTGAAGGAGGACTTCTCAGCCTCCTCCCTCTGGCCAGGCCGATTGCTCTCCAGGCAGACCCAGCCCACAGGTGTGCGGCCCGCTTATCCATCTCACCTGTCAGAAACCCCTGGCCGGGGCAGACAGAGAGGCCTGCGGCTCACGGCGTGCCCTCCTGGTCCCCAAGACTAACCATGAGGCCGGCCTTCTCCCTCAGACAGCAACTGGAAGGAGGGTGCCCTCCACCCAGCCCACCTCTGGAGTCCAGCCCTTCGCCCAGGCCCTTCCATGACTGTCCTCTTTCCTAACCACCTGGTTTCTAATTAGGCTACAAGGTTTGGGAAGGTCGGCCTGGCACCAACCCCTCTTTGGGGTGGAGAGAGGCCACCTGACTTCCAGTCTGGTTCCAGGCCACAAAGACAAGGGAGGCCGATGGCTCCCGAGAAAATGAATCCTCTCCTGGGAAATAGGTTTGTGGAGTCAGGACCAGCCAGGGCAATCTGGCTCCCCCACCTCCCGGCAGGTTCCAGAAGTGCCAGGCCTCTCCACCTGCCCAGTGCTCTCCTGTCCTCCTGCCCAGAGCCTCTGAACATGGAGCTGGGTGGAGGGGCCTCTGAACCAGGAGGCTGGGCCGGGCCTGGCCTGGGGGGGGAGCGGGGAGGGGGGCCACGG